ACTTGGACTGGTGGTTTTTGTTGGAATAAACTAATAGGTGATGAAGGACTACTGGCTAATGAACTTCCTATGTCAGCTGTCTACCTGAGAGAACACCCCAGGAGGTTAGTAACCTCAGGAGGTCTGCTCCAAAGACCCAAGGGCTTCTGCCTTCATAAGGATCTTATCAACAATACTGGTCATGGGAGAAGAATGCTTTATGGTTTGACTTACTCCCACAGGTTCCATCAAAATGCTAAACTTCAACTCTTCCAGGTCCCAAGAGTGGCTGGATGAAATATTGCCAAGGAATAATAAGAAGTGAGCAGGGAGTTCTCATCCAACTTCAGACTCTGAACAGTGGCTGGGTTCCCAGAGTCAAGCCCTAGAAGACCTCTCTCCATCATCAAGGTCTGGGTGAGGACCTGGTCAGGCAGGCATTTTATCCTCTTTTTCTTTTTTTTAAGTCTGAGTACTGGGAAGAGATCTAGAACCTTCAGAAACAGAGCAAAGTATTAAGTAATTAGAGTCAACAGGACACATAACTCAGAACATGACAACTCTTAAAAACGTAATTTGCTTTCCAAAATGCTATAATGAAGAGTCTAGGCTCGGAATTAGCAGATTAGTGATATTTTTTATCTAATCATGTGCCCTTGAGCAAGGCATCTTCTTTTCTGCATTTCAGTTTCATCTTTTGCAAAATGAAGAAATTAAATGTGATAATCTCTAAAGTTCCACTTCCACCTTCTTGTCCTGAGGTCTGAATAATTATGGACTATGACTAATGCAGTTGTGGAAACTAGAATACAGAATGAAAGATATTTGTTCTAAAATCTTCTTGGAGTGAGGGCAATGACATATGATTGCAAATGACCTCTGTAACATACATGTTAATTTGTGTGTGTAGTAGTAGTTTTTATAAGAGCCCTGACTTCAATATCAGGGGACCAATAGGAAGACAGGTTTAATTGATGAGCTGAGGAACTGTTCAAGTCATCTTAATCACGTTTTCATTTCCATCATCCAACACAACTGTGATATATCAGACACTGTACTAAACACTCTGCAGTACGATAAGAGTATGAGATTTGTTTATGAAAAGCTCACAAAAATTTTTTATATGATAAGATATATTCATAAAAATAATTACATTACAGGATATATAATGGGAGGAACAGAGTTGAACTATTACTGGAAATTTAGAGATGGGAAACATGGATATTCACCTTGAGTAGTCAGGGAAAGAAAGTGATGAACTTGAGCAGAAAAGAAATGGGTTGACTTCAGACTGACATAGGATAAAGCAAAGCAAATTTCCAAGGAGAGAATACTGTAAGCAAAGGAACTGAGATTTGGCAAGCAGTGAAATTTCTATGATGATGATAAAAATGATATTTAGAAGCATGACTCTGGACCAGAGTGATGGGGTTGTTCAACAGAGCAAACTATTATAAGGAAAATGGGTGAAATTCAGAGTTCAAGTCAATAGAAGAAAGAGTTTATTAAGCTAACAGTTCACCAATGGAGATGACTATGTTATGGGGCAAAAATAGCTTCTCTCACTGCTAGTTTAGGGTAGAAACTCGATGTCGTTTTTAGGAGGAATCCCAGGAAATGGATTCCTGAGCAGGGAAGATACACGTTATTGCCAGGCTACATCTAAATTTAGTGTAAATGATTTTCACTGATATTCCACCCTTCTGTGTTTGTGTGTGTATGTGTGGGGGGGTGTAATTTTAAAATTTCACTTTCTGTGAACTGATGGAGATATTTGGTACGTGTGTGTGATTACATACATGCTATTGCTTTGCTTTTATTTAATAAAAAACATTTCATTTGTTACTATGTTTACAGTGTTAGAAAAGTGGACTTAGAGTGACACAGCCTAATCAGAACCATAAACAAGCCAAAAATTGATTTTATATGAGAGGAAATGATATTTGAACATTCATTTCTTAAAATTGTACTCATTTGAACTTGGTGTTTATAAATGGCCTAGATAGATAGATAGATAGGTGATAGATAGATAGATAGATAGATATAGATACAGATAGATACAGATACAGATAGATACAGATACAGATATAGATACACATACGGTATGATGGGTATTTAATTTTTTTATACATTCAATCACTGCTATTATTACAGCATGCAAAATGCAGACGTCAGAATTGAGGAGTAAACAGATATGGACTTGAAGTGAAGAAAACTAAAGCAAAGGAGAAACTTTAGCTATTGATCAAGTTCTGCTGAAACATGATCATGCACATATAAGATTCTACTGAGAGGCAATTTTCTTAGAATCTTGGTAGAGAAACCTCCTATGTTAAATTTTGGATTGAAAAATGCTTTGGAATAAGGGGTGGACATGTTGCCTTGGTGTAGAACAAAGTCTATGACAAAGGAATAAAACATTTGCATGTGATTAAAAGATCATCCTGGAGAGGGAAGAAGTGATAAGAAACATGGAAGGCAGAAGGAGAAGGCTGGGTATCTTCCATAATTCTTTGCCTTTACACAAGTAGTTCCTTGTATCTAGACTATTTTTCTTTCATTTTTCCATATGGAAAATTCTGAAATTTTCTTCTTTTTGAAAAAAATTATTTCTTTCCCAAGACATGCTGGCACATATTTGAGAAGGTGGAAGCCACATAGAAGACATGGGTTTGGTTTCTCTGTCAACCTAAACATGTCAATAATGGTTGAGCATATTTATAATACTACCTAATTTGGAGACTATGGAAGAATTTATAACATAGAAAGAACCTGTAAAAAAATGCCTAGACTTAGATGTTCAGTTTAAGATGACTGTTAGACACAGAGAAGATGTGAGTAGCTTGTCAAATACATGAGTCTGGATCAAGAGGCCTTCAACACATACACGAGGATTTATTTATTTTTTATTTTATTTATTTATTTATTTATTTATTTATTATTATTTTGCTATAGGGTGCGTATGCTCACCAGAAAGACAGAGACAGAATGTGAGAAATCACCCCCCAGGGGGAACGGCCACACCACAACCCCTTCTCCTCCATTCTCCTCTCAGGATCTTGGGCATGCACGCACATGCACCCAGCGTGAGTTTAAGCCACCAGGTCTGGGACTCAAACCGCGGTTGACTGCATGGGAGTCCAGAAACATAGCCATTACGCTAACTGCTGGTCTCTGAGGGGTTCTTAATTAACAGAAAATATATTCTATGAAGAAAAGTCTACATAGATTTCAAAAAAAATTTGCACCAAAAAAAACTTGTTCTTTAATTTCATTATGTCCATGAACTTATGAAGTACCCAGTGTGATGTTTAAAGCCATGCCATCAGATAATATTAACAAAGCAGTGAGTCTATGTAAAGAGGGGAAAAAATACACTGATCTTTTGGAACTGTGACATTGAAAAAAATGGGGCAAAGAGGAGGAACAAAGGAAAATGAGAAAATCTAAACAATAAGAGAGGAAGAAACTAAAATGATAGGACCCTCAAAACTAAGTGAAGAAAGTATGTCTCACAAGGCAGAATGCATTACCTCAAAAAACACTGATAGTCCAACTAGACTGAAAATCAGAAATGACCATTGAATTTAACAAATCTTAGATATTTTGTGTCTCTGAAGAAGGAACTTCTAATGGAATGGGTGGTGAACATCTAATCAGAAAAGATTTCAGAGGAACTGAGAGAAGATTTACAGTCAGTGAATACAGGCACTCTTGGAAGAGTTTTGCTTCGGAGACAGAGGAAGAAATAGAGAGCAGTGACTAGAGTAAGTGAGTCAGGAAAAAGAGTTTAAAGTGCATGTTTTCATTTTTGTTTGTTATATATGTGAGAATAATAGCATATGTCTATGTTGTTAGAACATTCTAGTAAAAAGCTGTATGGTAACTTGTTGCTTCTCTAATGCAATATTAGTTTCTAGGCTGACCCAGTGGTCTAGTGTTCCAGGGATGATCCCACATGGCAGATCAAGGTGCAAATCCTGGAGGCTTAAAGAACATGTTGGGCAGATGTGCATGCCTAAAACTCTGACAGGATAGAGAAATGGAGAAGAAGGGATTGTGGTGTGTTCACACCCCGTCAGGAGGTGCTTTCTCCTCGTCCGTTACTTCCTGCCTCTCTCTGGCAAACTCATACACTCTCTAGGAAATATACATAAATAAATATTTACTTTTTAACACCAGATGCCATATTCTATTTTTATTTTATTTATATAGGTAGAATGCCTACTGTACAAAAAATGCTCAATCAAGTGTTTTACATTGACCTCAACTTATTACAACATAAATGTTTTACCATCTTTGAAAATGATTAATGAAGAGAGTATGTTTGAGGTTGTGAAGGGGGCACCATGGCAGGCAGAATTTGGAAGGGGCCACAGGTTAGAGTAGAAATGCTGGAAGTTAGATTTTCCCTGTGTCTTTCTGTGGTTCTTTTTTTTATTCAAACGCTCTTAGTCTTTTCTGGGATAGTTTGCAATGTTGAAAAGTGGTCTGCTAACCACATGGCCCTGAAAGATGCTGTCAGACATGGGTTCCCATAGGGTAATGAAGAGCAGAGGTGAGATAATTCATTCTTCAGTAACCATAAAGTTGAAGAAGAAAATAAATTAAAATGAGAATTTTAAAATATCATTCAAATTATGTACATTTGGTCCAGTACATTAGCATTATGTTATCAGTATAAATGTTGATGTGTACTATAGATAAAGACTATGTACACATGGTAGTATGCACATGAGATGAGTAACAAAGTTCTAAAACTTCCCAAATGAATGATGTTAATTAGGGAAGACACTATGTCTAATTATAAAGCTGAACACCTGAAGGAGGCTGTTGACTGGAGGGGTAGACAGAAGTGGAACTGAAATGCTGACCACCTAAAGCATTTACTGTGGGGGCTTTACTGTAGAAGTGGGGTAATGAAAGTGCTTTGAAGGTTGCCTTCTTGTCTAGACTTCCGTGGTTCATCTTTCTTTCCTATTCCTCCACATATCACATTACAGGGACATGAAGAGTGAGTAATGGGCACCGGGAACTGGAGCCAGGTAACAGAGTTCATCATCTTGGGCTTCCCTCAACTCCAGGGTGTCCAGACTTATCTCTTCCTCTTGTTACTTCTCATTTACCTTACTACTATCCTGGGAAATCTGCTGATATTTCTCGTGGTCCGTCTGGATACCCGGCTCCACACACCCATGTACCACTTTGTCAGCATTCTTTCTTTCTTGGAACTTGGCTACACGGCTGCTACCATCCCCAAGATGCTGGCTAACTTGCTCAGTGAGAAGAAAACCATTTCGTTCTCTGGCTGTCTCCTGCAGATCTATTTCTTCCACTCTCTTGGAGCTACTGAATGCTATCTTCTGACAGCCATGGCTTATGACAGGTACTTAGCCATCTGCCGGCCCCTGCACTACCCCGTTCTCATGAACCCAACACGCTGCGCCAAGATTGCTGTTGGCTGTTGGTTGGGAGGCTTGGCAGGGCCAGTGGCTGAAATTTCCTTAGTCTCTCGCCTCCCTTTCTGTGGCCCCAATCACATTCAGCACATCTTTTGTGATTTTCCTCCTGTGCTGAGTTTGGCTTGCACTGACACATCTATTAATGTCCTGGTGGATTTTATTATAAATTCCTGCAAGATCCTCGCCACTTTTTTGTTGATTCTCAGCTCCTATCTGCAGATCATTCGCACAGTGCTCAGGATTCCCTCAGCTGCAGGCAAAAAGAAGGCCTTCTCCACATGTGCCTCCCATCTCACTGTGGTTCTCATCTTTTATGGGAGCATCCTCTTCATGTACGTGCGGCTGAAGAAGAGCTACTCACTGGACTATGACCGGGCCCTGGCAGTGGTCTACTCAGTGCTTACACCCTTTCTTAACCCCTTCATCTATAGTTTGCGCAACAAGGAGATTAAAGAGGCCATGAGGAGGCAGTTAAAGAGAACAGGGACACTGGGGTGAGCAGAAGGTTGGGGCAGGTCAAGGCCATAGCTGAGGATTTGGTGACCTGGGGATCATATGTGGCCAAAGATGGGAAATTAAGAACTCAGTGCGTCATGGGACAGTGGGGTTGGGCAAGCGCTGCCTGGATTTCAGTGTTACAACAACCATTATACTATCTGCTGGAGCTACATTCATCTTGAGATCAGAGACTGCAAAAAGTACCCTTTCTTTCATATGCTACAGTGCAGTGATCTTCAAATCTCAGATGTTCTTGTACTAGGGATTTTTGTCAAGCCTGTGTCTTCCTTATAATACATACGTCATTTAAAAATTTTTATTTGATGCAAATATATTTAGTAATATCCTAAATGATAACACATGTTACATAAAATTTAAAGCAAACTAATTTTTTTCAAAGTTGTTTATAATTTCTTTATTTCTTCTGTTAGTGAGATAGACAGATATACACACAGAAAGAGAGAGAGACAGCACTTGACACTGTGATGCACTCCCAGTTTTCAGCCGGCCCCAGATCACGAGCAAACATTTGCCCGGCACACTCAGGAAGGTTTCCAGATTTGAACTGGCCACCTTCCTACGTGTGATAGCCTTGCAGAGCATTGTGATTTTACTGCTGTGCCACCATGTGGCCCAATGTTTTATATACCATTTATAATTGTTTCACATGGAAAACACTCATGTAGTAAAGAAAGTATGTTTTCTAAAATCAAGTATATGAGGGGACTTTAAAAAGTTCATAGAAATATTGGGGCCAGGCTGGACTCCCACATGGCCAACCATGGTTCAAGTCCCACACTTGATGACTTGAAAATCATGCCAGATGCTTGTGCATGCATGTTTGGACAAAATCCTGAGAGGAGAATAGAGAAGGAATTACTATGGTGTGGCCGTTCCCCCAGGGGTTGGTATCTTACTTTCTCTCTGTGTCTCTCACCGTCTCTCCTGTGAGCACATGTGCCCTACTGCAAACAAACAAGAAACAAAACAAAACAAACAAAGAAAAGTTCATAGTAAGATTAAATTAAAATAGAAACTTACTTTGGTGCAAAATTGAAAAGTAAATCATGCACAGTATTTTCTTGACACCCATTGTTCCTGCATGTTCTGAAGAACATCTGGATTTAAATTCTAGTTCATTCACTACTAATTATATGATCTTTAGACAGTAACTCACCCTCTCTGGTTGTAATCTTGTCATTTGATAACAATATTTTCTTAAAGGTTATTGTGAGAATTAGTGATCAAATCTGTAAGTTACAGTACACAGTGTCTGAAATACAGCCGATAGTAAATTAAAAAAAAGAAAGAAAAGAAAAAGTTATACTTATTTTTATTTATTTTATTCTGACCAGATCGCCTCTCATTATCACCCTGAATCATAGAACAGTATCTACTAAAATGTGAATAAAAATACTTCCCAGGTTCTTTTCCCCAGAGGACAGGAATGAACCAACCAGAGGGAATAGTAATGAGAAGAGGATAGTCGCACTTCAGTTTCATGAGTTCTGTTGTCAGTAGCAACGTTCCTAATGTCTGTGTCCAGGATAAAGTAAGAAAGCATAGACATTTAATCAATGGTGGGAAACACAATTACTTTGTACATCGGACCTTTCTTTTTTATTTCCCTTTTAACTATTTATTGAAGTACATGAAAAAATAATGTTTTTAAAAATTGTATAAGTTAAGGGAACCAGCAGTTAGCGTAATGGCTATGTCACTGGACTCCCACGTAGTCGACCATGGTTCGTGTCCCGGACCCAGTGGCTTAAAACTCACGCTGGGCCCCTGTGCGTGCGTGCCCAAGATCCCGAGAGGAGAATGGAGGAGAAGGGATTGCAGCGTGGCCATCCCCTCTGGGGGGTGATTTCTCGCTTTCTGTCTCTCTGTCTCTTTCTGTCTGTCTGGCGAGTGCATGTGCCCTATAGTGAAAAACCTCTCAAAAAAAATTGTATAAGTTAACATATAAGAAATCTAGATAGGCCAGCCATATATCCTGGTGGTTAAGGAAGATGTATCCCATATGGCCAATCACAATTCAAGTCTCAGCTTCTTCAGTATGAAAAACATACTAGGTGCATATAAACCTCAAATCCCCATCCTTTGGGGGAAATGTAAGAGGAGGGATTGTGGCATGACCACATTCCATAGGGGTGAGGGATCAGTGGAGGGTGCTTTCTCCATCTCTTCTCTTTCTCTAGTGAGTGCACACGCCCTCTGGCAATTACAAAACAAAAATGGTCTAGCCACAGTGGTGTGCGCTGGAAGCTGTTATTCAGCAGACTGATGCTACATCAGATTTGATTCTTGAGCTACCCTAAAAACCAGAAGCAGTGCCCAGGCTACTCAGGAGGCTGAATTAGGAAGACTGTGACATAACCAGGCCCTGTATAAAAATATATGTTTTTTTTTTTTTAAAAAAAAGATGAAGCAAAAATGGCAATATATTAGAAATCATTAAGGGGTCAACAAGTGGCATGGTGGTTAGGCACTGGACTTCCACATGACTGACTGTGGCTTGAGCCCTGGACCTGGCAATTTGAAAATCACTCCAGGAATGTGCACATGTATGCCCAAATTCCAAAGAGAAAACTAGAAGAGAAGAGATTGTGATACATTCCTCCTCCCCTGCGGAGGGGGAGGGTTAGTGATTTCTCACTTTTCTTCTGTCTCTCTCTCCAGGTGAGCACACACACCCTATGGCAAAAACCTAATAAAAAACAATGAAAGAAATTATTAAATGCAAGATGTATATATTTAATAAGTTCACTACTTTCATAAATAGTTTAAAAGTTAAATAATAAAATATTATTAAAAGAACAAAAACTATAATCCTTATTTTAATAATTATTATCTATATTCCCATGTGGTCAGAGAAAAAATGTTTATAGAAAAATTTATCAATTCAATTAATGACAGAATAAAAGAAAAAGAAGTTACTGAGGAGAGAATGAACAAGTACAAAACGCAATCATTTTGGTAGAAATGCTGCCAAGCATATTTGTAACACAAAATCTGTAAGCAGATTAAGTGTTATCATATTAAATATTTTAATTTAGTTATATGCTGCTTATAAGATTTATATCTAAACACAGACATACAAAATCAAAGTCTGGATAAAAGAAATAGAGAGAAGCTTGGTGAAACAATAGTATTAATTAATGAAACAGGGCTGGCCCCTTAGCCAAGTGATTATGAGAGCAAGATTCCACACGGCTAACCATGGTATGAGTCCGGGACCCAGTGGCTGGAAAAACATGATGGGAAAAAGTCTATGCATACCCAAAATCACTATAGAAGGAATAAATGGAAGAGAGATTGTGGCATGATCATTCCCCAGGAACAGTGCTTTCTCATTTTTCTCTCTATTTTTTTTTCCTCTGGAGAACTTATTCATCCTCTGGAAAAAGTTTTAAAAATATATATATAGAGGGACCAGCAGTTTGCATAATGGCTATGTCGCTGGACTCCCATGTAGTCGACTGAGGTTCGAGTCCCGGACCCAGTGGCTTAAACTCACGCCGGGCGTGTGTGTG